ATTGGCCCTGGTGCGGGTTGACATATCGATGCACCGTGATGGAAAGAGTGGGACATAAACGGCTTCGACACTGCGCCACCGCAAAAAGCAAACGCGACAACCATCTCTGGTGGGCGGCTCGGGTCTCCAACGCGTCACGCGCACCGATCTGACCCTCCTCGGAACGCAGGAGAGCAACAAGATGGGTAAAGTACACGGACGCAGCACGTCAACACACATCCAGCATGACTGCTTGCCGAGCAGGTGCAATTGAATGCTAAATGATTGCTGATCATCCCTGTGGGACTGTGGACGGGCTCGGACGAGTACAACTGTCACGGGGACGAGACGGATAAAAGGAGGTGAAATTCGAAGTGGATGCGTGCGTGGGCGTGCCATCTCGTCGATCATGCTGACAACCTTGCTGAAATCTACCTGGGCGGGCGCATCAGCCGACATGAGAAGTAGTTGAAGCACGCGGTCCAAATCGCGAACTCACACGTCGGTCAGAAGAAGCGCGAGCAGCATATTGAATGCATTGAATTTCGTCCCTCTGCCCCTTGAAGGAAAGCAGGAAGGCGCCAAACTAGGACAGGAAATGTATTACAAACATCTACTTCCACGACCGATGCGTAAACATGTGTTGAAACTCACATACACACACGGTGTGAATGCAGGAGGCCTCCAAGGAGGCGACCGATACATCTGAGAAACTGGGGGCAAAATGTAGAAACAATCCGAACATATCCATACCGCGCCGCCCGCTCGGAAGGCTGGCAGAACACGAAATGGGAACATATCCTCAAACGGATCGGGCATCGGCCCACCTGAGTCGAAGGCGGCTGAGTCGGGCGCACCATAACATTAATCACAATGAAATTTGATTGGAGAAGACTCGCGAGACGACTCAAGACCCGTCCAGTGGAAGGCATTGGTCGACAAAGATCCGTGGATCTGGCGCGTGTGAGTATCGTTTAACCGATCCCCATCCCCAGCGGCGTGGCCTGGGCCCCACTGGCCGCTTTAGCCCCCTGGATGGGGATATAGGTCGTTCCCCTCGGGTTTCGAGGGGTGTATCCCCAACTGGAGCGGTAATTCGGTGGGAGTCTCGAAGGGGATGGTTGGAGGCCTGGAAATTGGCACCAACACCAACACAGGGGGGTGCCTCCACAGGGGGAAGACGATCCCAGATTTCGGTGTTGGTGGTAATATTTCGGCCACCTTGGAAGCCAGAATATTACCGCCATCACCGAGATCGGGATCTTCTTCCCTCGGTGGATGCACACCGCCGATATTGGTGTTGGTGTCAACCTCTAGGCCTGCGAGATGGGGATGGGCATGGGGATGGGCATCGTTTAAACGATACTGAGAGCGAGCGTGAGCGCCAGATCAAGGGTTTAGGGTTTAGGGTTTAGGGTTTAGGGGCTGGGCATCGTTCAAACGGTACTGAGCGCGTGGGCGCCAGATCCACGGATCACAGAGCAGTGCCCCCCGAAGCACGGCGCCAGTGCCGCCCTGCTTCGGCGACGGAGCGCGCCGATTCCGCGCGGAAGTGGGACTGGCGGCGCACCCACGCGTCTCAGCCCGTGCCTGCATCTCCCTCAAGAGAGCAGTACGCGGCCTGACCTGAGGAGCGATAGATAAGGAACGACGCCTCATGTTTCCCAGTGAGTCCAGGAAATCCGAAAGAACACCAGGGGGCTCGCCGTCAAAAAGGTAGCGGAACGCATGCAAACCAAAGGAACGGCCGAGCCCCTTTTTGAAAAGTAAGTGCAGCTTATTCGAGCCGGATCCTGTAGAAGGCGGCTGACGCAGGAAGCCACCGCTTCCCGAGGCCGTCCCAGCGGCGCCACCCACTCGTCTGCGCCACACCCCTCGGGAGCCGGGCGTGGCAGGAGACGCGCGACCAGCCTTCCGCCCTGACGTGTGTTCCTGGCGCGAGGGCAGCTGGGCCGTCGGCTCGAACAGCTCGGCGAGCCAGTCGAGACAACGGCACCCCTGCCTGGCTTTTTGTTGGGGCTGTTGTTTGTGGGCATCCCAGAGGCGTCTCGCCGGCACGGCCGGATCCGCCTCGAAAAACGGTAGGGATGGTCCCCCAGAGGAGACAAAGAGCCGACTTTAAGCGGATTTGGGCTGGGCGGGTGAGCAGCCGCTGCGCTACCATAAGATAACTATAGCAACCAATCAATCCGCCGTGTGACGCGCACGTGAGCACTGGAAGGGAGCTAGCGAGAGCGGCTGTACTCTCGCGCAGTGCTCTGGCGCAGGAAAAGAAGAGGCCCCCTGGCGCTGCCGCAACCTCCCGGAGAGATCGACCGCGCCGAAGCGGTAGCCTCGGCCTGGGATCATCAGGGTCGCGAGTTCTGCTGGGCGACTGCGCGAACCTTCGACATGAAGACATGGGTAGTGTAAGCGCCGAACCTGCAAGGAGTTCGGCCTGTGCTGAGGCGGCGCTCGTGGCCCCTGGTGTGCGGGCGCACGTCCCTCCGCGAGCCCGCTGCCCAAAACCACGCACTGCCATCAAAGGGTGCGAAGCCCGAGTCCACAGAAACTCGCTGGCGGCTCACGCCACAAGGCTACAGGTGAGTCAACTTGCCAACTGGAGACAAGCTGGATCGCGCCGAGAGAAGAGGAAGGGCCCATCACATCTGGGAGATCGCATGGCGCCGGCTATGGTATCTGCACGCGCACACAACCCTAACCATAATTAGTCCTCACACCGCCTCTTGCCCAAACATCCGGCACCGACTTGTTTCACAAGGTGGTTCCGCAGAGATCTGGATCACATCCTGGGGGTTAGTATTCCATGCTGAGTCGTTGATTCTGGCCCTGGAGCAGGCGTAAGGGCTCCGAAGGCAGACAACTGCCGAAAACGTTCCGTCGAATCTTCGTTTACGGCGCGAGGATGACAGGGTGGACTCTCCTGACTGGTCCTCACCGACGGGGTGCTTTTAGAGGAATCTGATTACCGAGCCTCTGGCGGTCGTTCGGGACGATTCGGGAACCCATGAACGCTCTCGGCGACGACACCTGCTGGCATGCCGCGAGCAACCCGGAGCGAGAAGACCTCCAAGAAGTGATAACTTACGAACGTCTCGAAACTCACCCCGATGATGGAAACCTCGACCCTATGACCCGATAATCGGAACTCCGACGATGCCGATCTTGGACGCCCCAGATGATGGGAAACCCTCGACACTCTCGAGAGAGGGAAAACGTCGGCGTACTGACTCATGAGGGGGGAACATCGACCTAGAATCGGAGATGTTTCGCCGATGCATCGGCGATGGGCCCCCGATGGCGAGTTCGCACGCTCTCTGGCGGGGTGGGGCCATCGGGCCCCATCGGCGAGCAGCGGGCTATTGGGACTCGTTACGTGCCGCCTCTTCTGAGCTTATGCCTCCCGTAGCATTGCCTCTGTTGAGCAGGGACCGACCGTCCCGGCATTCCTCTAGGCCTACCGCGACATGCTCTTAGAACCTAGACATGTTCTAAGAACCATAACAATGCTCTTAGAACAGACACCCAATACACATATATATATATATATATATATATATTGAAACAAGACATTCCCAGCAAGAAATGTTCTAAGAACATGTCTTTGGTAGGCCTATAGGCGAGCTAGGACGCTTCGCCACTGCTCGAGTGGCAGTGCCTCTGGCTTTCTGTCCAGAACTCTGCTCTTCGGCGGCCGCTCGGGACGATCCGGGAGCCCCTGGAAAACGCCCTCCCCTCGGCGACCCCGCGGGGGATCTATGATAAATTACATCAAAGCAGACATGCGTTTTTCGGACAATTGCGAGTAAACAATTTGCGAAGAGTGGAACGCGCTCGGACCCAGAAGATGGAAACCTCGACCCGTTGACGGGAACCGCGATCCGATGATGATATCGCCGATGATGCTAGTCTTGGCGGAGCCTGCAGTGGGTTGGGCGCGGGAGGGGTGGGCTTCCAAGAAGGCAGTAGGGGGCTTCTTGGAAGGCGAGGGTCTGAGGCCCAGGAGGCCTCGTAAGAACCCTTTGCAAGCGAACTTCTAAGAAGCCCCCCTGCCTCCTTGAAAAAGCATCGCCGCTTCTTGGAAGTCCACCCCCCTCGCGCCGCCGCTGGGAGGGCGCTGCCAATGGACGCCGACGATGACGCCACTCCTCCAGGGTGGGGTCCAGGTAGATGGCGTCGGAGGAGCACGCCGCATCGCCGATACATTGGCGATGCGGCTCGATGTGGTGCCCAGGTTACTCTACGCCGACGGCCACGACGCATCGACGACGTCGCCGACGCATCGGCGATGCATCGGCCACGCCTCGCCTCCAAGCAAGCAAACACCGAGCATCCAGACGGACGCATGGGCAGTCAAGGGTGGACATCTGGCAGCTGGATCAAGAGCGGAACAAGCACCAGGTCACCAGAGCAAGGAGAAGAGGAGGGAGGAGGGCTGGAACATGCAGAAGCATATGCATGCGCTCAGGTATGTTGCGACTTTGAGGCGGCTGGAGGGTCTGAACTGGATGGGCCCCGAGAGAATCGGTTCAGAGAAGGGGATGCCAGCAAGTCCGCTGAAAATCGGTCCCAAGACCCCTTCCGGGGTCCGTCTGGGCAAGTTTGTCACCCCGGCTCCGTTTGCGACAGTCCCAAGAACACGGTCCCCAGATGCCGGACAAGGCCGAACAATTCTCGAACCCAGTGCCTCGAGCCTCGCCTCCCCCCCCACCCCCGAGCTGCTGGCCAGAACCGAGGCTGGGCCACCTCAGACCCATGCAGCTGGCTCAGAGCTGCGACAGCGTGTCCAGCAATGGGGCGGCGCGCACAAGGGGTTAGGGCAAGGGGGCAAGGCTTGTTAAACGATGCTTCTCAGAAGGCGCCAGCCCTACATCTATCGACAAGGCCCGCGCCTTCCAAGAAGCAAGGGTTCTTCGAAGAGAGCCCTCCTCCCTCTCCCTCTCTGCCCCCCCGCTGCGCGTGGCCGAGAACATGCGGACCTGCAAGGAGGGCCGCGCCGCCTTCTTCCCCGTCAGCGCCATCGCCAGCAAGTCGAGCTGCGCGTGGCTGCCGCGCGAATGGTCGCCGCGGGCCTCGCGCGCGCCCGGCCAGCTTCGAGCGGATGCCGATCCCCGAGACCGACAGTCTCCCGGGACACTCAGGGGGGCCCAGGAAGCCATGCATAAACAGACACACATTCCGAGGTTCCAATCTGAGATGACAACTTCTTCGATCGTCGAAAGCGAGGCCAAGTCTGGAACGCCTCATCTGTTTTTCCTATACCTGGGCCTCTGTCCTCGATTGCGGCCTCCGGGGCCCGTCATCGGGCCCCAGGGCCCTCTAGAACGGATCCGGTACGAGAAACAGCTCGTGGGTGGGGCCGCGGAGAAAACCAACACATCGGAGGACGCCTGGGATCGACAAGCCCAAGGGCATGATCATCCTAGGGGAAGTCGGGCGTGTCCCCCTACAGGGGGATTTTGGGCGAACAAAACAAATACACCAAAATGGGCAAAAATATTTTTAAAAATCGTCCCCATACTAATTTTGACTGTTTTTGAATTTTCCCCCTGTATGGGGGACAGACCCGACTTAATCCTAGGGGGGCGCCCTCGGAAGCTGAGGGGGATCCTCAGGGTCGGCCCCAGGCGATACCAAATCGCATGGAAAAGGTGATGTCTCAGGGAGGCAAATCCCCGCGTTCCGCACATGGCGCGCGGCCCCTGGGCACGCCGCCTTTTGACGAGCAGATCCGCGGCAAGGTCGCAACTGAACGGGGCTTCCGCCCCGAAGCTGGCGGAAAGTCCAAACCCAGGGACGTCACAGTCGCAAGGGAATCTCGAGCGAGACGTCCGGCCCCGCCCACGGACACGTCTGGTGGTGTGACGGGGGGGATCGTGTTGAACGAAGGGGGAAGTAGACGGAGACGGACACGCAGCAACACACACTTTCGGAGGTCGGAAGGTGTCGCCAGGGGGGCACAGCGCAGGTCCAAGAAGTCGGCGCTGAACTCCGAAATTTAGCTGCGCACGCGGATTTCTCTGGTTCCTTGAGTTGCTTACGATGGCGAGGGGAATTTCGGCGGCGGCGGCGGTCACTGCGCAAGCGAGAAAAAGTCCCGAACAGAGCAGCGCGCACCGCGACTACGACGCCGCCGCCGACGACGGAGACGAGGCCCAGCCTGCAGGTTCTTTTGAACAGCGCACCGTCGAGCGGCGCTGCAGCCTCCCCTGGGGAGGGCGCAGGCCTCTACGGGAGAGGGGAGGACGGGCTGCTCCGAGCTTCGCCGGGCGGCGTCAGGCTTCGCTCACCACGGGAGGAAGGAGGGAGAGGGGAGGGACGGGGAGGAGGGAGGAGGGAAGGGAGGAGGAGGGAGGAGTCGGATGAGGGGGAGGAGGAGGAGGGGGGGGAGGAGGAGGAGGAGGAGGAGGAGGAGGAGGCGGAGGAGGAGGAGGAAGAGGAGGCTGCGGCTGCGGCTGCGGCTGCAGCTGCGGCTGCGGCTGCGGCTACTTGGAGGCCAGTCGGCCCCCCTCGCGCTCGGCGAAGAGCGGCGGCCTCGCCGCCGCCAACGCGGGCGCGCCCGCGCCGCCCGCGCGCCGCTCCGACTCTGCGGGCGAGCGGCCACCGAGGTATCCCTGATCGGCAGCCCAAAAAGGCCGCGACGGGCCAAGAGACCCGCCCGCCAAAAACCCGCGAGGCCCACAGGCCCCGCCGAAACCAGGGAGGGCCAAGCCGCCCCCCCAGGGAGCCCAAGTGGACGTATGGAGGGCCCCTATCACCCTGCAGCCTCACAACCTAAGAGCCTTCGACAAGCCTGAGCCTGTAGAGAGCTTAACCTGGTAGTTCATCTTCACCACCAGCTACCCCGTCTTCTTCTGGATGGAGCCCACAAGCTGCTGGAGCGCGGGGCCATCGATCAGACCGTGCGCCATGAGCTGCTTCGCCGCGCAGCACAGCTGGTCCAGGAGTTCGGCGACCTGCCCTTCCTTGAACTCCTGCACGGTTTGGCTGGTATCCTCGGCGGTCCTGGCAGCGCCGGCGGGGGCAACGCCCAGCAAACATAGGGTGGGGGTCCCCGCGACCCCGGGTTTACCGGCAGCGCTGGCGAGGACGGCGCTCGCCCTCTCCTTCTTGTCCTTCATATGTTTTTTTCTCCCCTTGGGGCCGTCGCTGGCGGGGCTGGTCTGTCACAGCTGGCCCTCCATCCAATTCGATCCCGCCCTGCTCCACCAGCTGCGTCGGGCCCTTGTGCTGCAGCAGCTGCGGGCGCTTGCTGCTGGTCTCCGCGTCCGTCTGGCCCCTCGAGCGTGCCCGACTCGACGCCGCCTTTGCCGAGGTCCTCCGCAGCGGCGTAGGAAACCTTCGCGAGCCCAGCCTCAGACTCGTCAGCGGCCCCCTCTTCAGGCTCCACCTCGAACGCAGGATCGCCGATGAAGTGCCGCTATGGCGCCGCGGTGGCGGGGTACCCCTCTACGCCGCCATCATTCGATCGTTGATGATCATCTCCTGGAACACCTCCGCGGTGTCTTTCACCTCCCGCTCCGCCGGCTGGTTCTTGTCCTCCGACGCCTTCTGGTCCCCTGGCTTGCACCATCGGTTGGGTCGGCAACAAGTTCCCCATGCACCAGAGCCGCTGCTCGGCGAACGGTTTCGGTTCCTCTGGGCTTTCTGTCTGCTCGCCTGCTTGCCCTTGCGTTTCTGCTTGACCTTGCCTGGCTTGGCCTGGGGGGCTGCCACAGCCTGGACATTGGCTGCCTGCTCCTTGATCTTCGACGTCTGGATCCACTTGCCCGTGACGTCCTGGATCCGACCACGCGCCTGCCAGGTGGCTGTCAGGCGGGCTGCGGTCGATTGCCCCCTGCTTGGTGATCTCACTTGACGCATGCCACGCGCCTCCCCCTGCACGTAGCCCTGCTCCATCACCTACTGCTTCTTGCCCACTATGCAGGTCGCCACCTTCTCCTGCTTCTGGAAAGCGTTCTTCGCCAGCGGCCCGTAGTCCAGCCCGAGCTGCCGCAGGCTGAGCTTGGGGTCCCCAGGCATGATCGTGCCCGCCTTCCTGACTGCCCTCGGCGATCTCGGCCTGCACCCGGTGCTCGCGCCCCACCGCCGCGTCGTACTCCGCCACGCGGCGAGCCGACGGGCCCCTACGTTGCCCAGCAACGAAGCCTCCACCCACAGCCGAGTCATCGCGCCGCGTGCGACGTGGCTCGGGGCGGCTGCGCCCCTCCCCGGATCGCCGCCCTCAAAGGCTCCCCTGGGCCTGGGAAGGGCTGGGAGGAGGAGGAGGAGGAGGAGGAGGAGGAGGAGGAGGAGGAGGAGGAGGAGGGGGAGGAGGAGGGAGAGGAGGAGGAGGAGGGGCAAGAGGAGGAGGGGAAAGGGGAGGAGGAGGAGCAGTAGCAGCAGCAGGAGAGGAGGAGAGGATAAAGATGAGACCCTTGAGGGTTACGTGCCCACCCACTTGGCACTGGTGAGATCCATGAGGAAGAGGAAGAGGGGTGGAGGAGGGGGAGATAGAAGGAAGAGGAGGGGGAGAATCACGACGAAGGCGCGGGGGGCGCGGGGAGGAGGCGCGCGGAGCGCTAGGGCCTTCGCGATGGCGCCGAGCGCGCCCTGGCGCAGCTTGTCGCCGTTGGCCACCTGGCGGCGCAGCGGGCGGATCGCCGAGGATCGCCGGGAGAAAGGGAGCAGGAGGAGGCAGGAGGCTGCTTCTTACACTGACCCCGTATCATAAGGATGCGCGGCAAGGATGCAAGGGCCTTGGAGGGCCATGCTGACGTTTTTCGAACCAGGTTGGCCAGCGAAGGACGCCAAGCATGGACCGGCGGGGAAAGGATGCAAGGGGGGTAGCCTGGAAAATTGCTCATCCTGACTATGCGGGTTGACTGTAGACGGCGCCGGCCTTACATCTGCAGACACGGCCCGCGCCTTCGAAGAAGCAGGGGTGCCCCTAAGACGGCCCCGCCTGGCCCCTCGTTGGGCCGCCCCGGCCCCCAGGCTGCGCGCCACTGGGCGGGAGCAGGAGCTCTCGAGCTGCGCATCCCGGGGAACGAACAGAGGCAGCTTCTGGGGGCGCGCTGCCAGAAGAAGCGCACCAGTGAAGAAGAGCGAAGGGGCTTTCCTGGGCACAGAGTCGGCCTGGGCCACAAACAGACTCCACGACATAGAGCTCAGGAACGGCCCGGCGACCCGAACCCCTCCCGCGCCCAGAGCGATCCCTCGTTCAGCATCTTGGCTGTGGTGTGGGAATCGGGGGGACGCTCAAGGTAGGGGGCGTCCAACGAGGGGGGCTGGCAAATCATGGCGCGGGACCCGTGCGCGGCCCAGGGGGTGCCGAGGGACGTGAGGGGGAGACGAAGGGTCCATGAGATCAGGGGAGATACCGTGGCCCAGGCCATACCATCAACTCCGTTTACGGACGCCCCAAACGGTAAGGCGAGGGGGGGGGCAAGAGCAGCAGCCGAACCGCCAGGACGGCCTCTGCGAACCCCTCTGCCTGCAACCCGCGCCGCTCTGCAAGCAAGATCTGGGCCCCAGCGCGTTACGGCGGCACGTCTGGGAGCACGCGGCCTTTTGCTCCATCTGGCAGGGCGGGCGGCAACCGCCGCTGCCCGACGCTATCTCTGCGAGGGGTTCCCCCCAAGCGGCACATATGAGGAAAATAACCTCGAACGTGTCACTATCATAATCGTTTGCCCCTCTGATGTTCGCCTGAGTCGTGAGGAACATACCATCGAACGTATCTCTATCATGACCGCTTGCCCCTCTGATTTCCGTCATGAGTAACAGATCCTCGAGCGCATCAATATCATGACCGCCTGCTCCTCTGATGTCCGCCTCCCCTTCGATCCTCCTCACCTGTCCTGCCCCCAGGCGCCCCGAACACCAATCACGACGGCAAATGTCTCCCACTAGTCGGACCCCCGCCTTCAGGCGGTGGGCAGGGGCCACCGGAGAACAGAACACAATCCGACGCGAACAGGAACGGCTCCAGGGCAGGGACGGCGGGGCCCACGGGGAGGCCCGAACATCTTTCGGCAAC